CAGTGGACTACAAATATCAGAATGATGAAATTCTAGAGGTATTTCCATACCTGAGCAGCATCTTCTTCACATTTAAATAACTGCACCATCTGAAGCATCTTCAGTCTCCGCACATCCACCATATCCTCACACCTTAAACAGCAGCACACAAAGATTCATCAACACATGTACAGCAGACACAAAACACTCTGACATTGACAACAATGTTTTCAAGTGAGAAACATTAAGATACAAGCATTCATGAAAAGGTGATCAAAGCTGCTTAGCTTGGCAAAAAAACCTCATGCCACAAACAACAATGAGAAAGTTGCAATAAGTAGAACTGAGCACTCCAAGTCACCAAAATCATGATCCTCAAGATTCCTGATATGGCTAAGCTCGAGGCAGTAACACCAGAGACAGCTACAAGGTCTTGCGGCAGCATCCCAGGCTCCTTACCTTGCTGCACTGGTAAGCTCTGCAAAACAGAGGCTAACACAGACTTTGTCCTATTAGAATTCAGATGAAAGTGGGCTTCAACTTGGCATAATTCTGAACTGTACTGTTTGTTGGGGGCAATGTTGCTTAATGAATACAATAAGGCTGATTAAAAGATAGTACATTTTTCCATTTTTCTTTTTAGCTCATTAGAGATGGTAATATCTGCACCCTTATATGATGTTGTCCTTTGCTTTACTTGTCAGGAAGCATTTAAAAATCTAATTGATATAAAAACTGACCCTAATTATCTTGTTCTGAGTTGAGCACAGTTTGCAGTTCTTTCTCCAGAATTCCAATAGAAGTGTTGAAAATCCTTCTCTTTCCGCAATGAGACCTAAGCTAATACATCTAGCAGAATGCTTTCCACTTTAATTTCAGAGCCTACAAAGTAGACAGCAAGACTCATGCTCCTGTTCAGTGCAAATGGAATTACTAACGTCAACAACAGTTGGCTTTATAAGCAAATGCAAAAGACTGTGTGCATGATCCTTTCCAAATTGGTTACAAACATAAGCTCTTCCAAAGAACAGTTTGTTAGCATGCTGCGTTTTGTTACATGTCCTGCAATGCTTACAGAAAGGGCATCATCTGCTCTAATAATGCAGGAAAACAGTTTATAGGTTCCAAAATCATAAATAAAGCAGCAAAATGCCCCTAAAAATAAACATTACAACATGTGTATGTAAACAACAAGAAACAATCAACAGAAGTTGGAAAACAAAATTAAATAGCAAAAAATACTATTACATGCTAGTGAGAGATACTTAGTCCTTTCACTTTTTTGTTTCTCATCCAGGCTAAATAACCTTGTTTAATCATTCACAATCTGAAAGCTCCTTCATACCTTTGTCTGCAAATACTATTGATGTTTTAGTCCTCTAAATGACTTCCCACAATTCTACAACCCTTCTGAGAATACAGAGCAGAATTGTGTAACACAAACAGAAATTGACTACCAATCTATACACTGACACAATGACGTTCTTCTTTCAGTTTTTTATTCCTTTCCTAATAATTCTTGGCATTCTACTTGCTTTTCCCTGTGTGTTTGAACACTAAAGCAATTTCTTCAAGTTTTCCAAAGTTTATCTTTGAGTTCACAGCTGATTCAGAATCCATTACTGTGTATACAAAGTCTCCCCTTCTCCCATGCACATCTCTTTTCTCATATGGAATTCCAACTGCCATTTTACTGCACAGTGACACGTCCTCTGTAGCTTTTTGCAGCTTGCTATCTAAACATAAGTATTGCTTAAATTAATTGGATTCAGAGGGCAGACTTAAAACAGTATTTTCTCTAAGCTCTATCAAAACACATAGCTCCTTACACTAAGCTCCCTAAGAAAACAATTTAAGAATAGTGGAATTAATTTGTAAAACGGGCAATTGGATGCTCACTAGAGCTTGCTGTTGCCTAGAGGCACCTCTTTGCTCAGCCAATGCCCTTGAACACCAGGCCATTTCTATGGACAGTATTACATGGTCTCAGGGCTTCCAGCAGTATTACTGGCAATAGCTTCTAATTCTTTCACACTGTTCAGTAGAAAAAAAGGCAGTACTACAAAACAATCCAGTACTACTACATATTTAAGTACAAATAATCAAATTTTGGAGGAAGAGGATGATGGCAAAATCCATGTTTCTTACAAATTCAGCTCCCTCCAACACTTTTCCCAACCTCATCCCTCACTCTATATGGTTTCCTAAAATTCAAACCCCATGTCCTGGGGTGACTGTATGGTCCTGTATCCCATCATCTGCTCTTCTGAAATCTGAGCCTCCATTTTGTACCCTCCAATGCCACCTCATTTGTCTTCCTATCTTCAGAAATGAAAATACCATACTCAAGGGACAGAGCTTGTGATAAAGAGGACAAACAAGGCTGTTTAATACATAATATTACACCCATCACCACTACTGTAATTACATTATACTCCTATCTCAAACTGCTAACATGTAAAAGCCACCTCTTGCATATTTTCATAACTCCATATAAAAGGAATGTACAATTTCTGACATTTACAAGGACAGGAAAGCATTCAAGTACTCCATCCAGTACCAAAATAGAAAAGGTGCTTGTTTTTAGGAATACACTACAACAGATTAGTCAGGGAAGTTTCTGTCCCATTCAAATATACTACAAATATAAATTACAGTTGTAATACATCCCTTTAATGAACATAAAACAAAATGGGCTCTTTACAACAAACTAAATTGTATAAAAAGTGACTTGATAACACACAAAAATCTTAATGACTCGAATTGTTGTTCTTACCTTTGTTTTCTTAGCTGCATATCCTCCATCACTCCTTGGATATGGTCCACATTTTCTTTGTTTTCAATGGTTACATCCTTCCCATAGGCCCATGATGCCTGGTTAGATATCTGATCAAGAAGACTTTGACCTTTCTCACGCAAGCCTTGCAAGCCTAAGTCTAATAAGAGAATGAGAAAAAAAATAGGTCAGTGATCACTCGGAATTTCGGTGGGTTTTCTCCTCAATGGAGCAAACAGAATCACACACAGATCAAGACTGGAACCTGGAAAATGACAAGGACATTACTATGTCCTTCACCACCCTGTCCAACTCTCATTTGAGTGAGCATTTGTCTGTATTAACAAAGAACTAAGGCTTTGCTATTTTATGACCTAGCAGATAACAAGAAAAGGAATAGAAGTTGACAGCATGTCAGCTTTTCAGCATATACATAGCTAATTAGTGTCTTTCATCCACACAGTTAGATAATTCCTAAAATATTTATCCCTGCTAAGCAGTTGTAACCTAAGTGTTCTTCCACTGCTGGCACAAGTTACTACTTTATAATACATCTGATATGGCTGATACAATTTTCTACACTGAAATTTGTCAGCCCTTGGGATCTGCTGTTACATCTCTTATTTGGCAGCTTTACTATCTTTTTTCCTGAAGGAAAATCTCATTTATGCATCCAACTCTTATATTCCAATCATACCTACTTCTGCCATAAATTATTTTTCTTTGCAGCTCTTTCTCCCACAACTTAATGAACAAGCTGATCACTGTAGACCCCTTCCAAATGAAATAATGCCATGTGCTTGACAGTGTAACAACCTTCAATGTGCCATTTATTAACATATACATTCAAAGTCACTGCAAAACACCCAGCACAAGTATTCTAAAAGTGAGGGGATAAAACCTTAATCATCAATGCAGTTCTGGAGACAAAAAGATCATCTAAGCATTATAATCCTAAGTCACTAAGTCACTAAAGAAGATTAATGGGGCAAAGAAGTTTGTTTACAGATGAAATGCATGATAATGGCATATAACAAATATATATATTGGATGTAAAACATCTTTAAAAGAACAGTTCCAGATCACTTCCCCAGACAAAAGCCAGCCCAAAGTAACTCAGTGAAACATTACATAGTGAGGAATCAGAAGTCATAAGATCTTTTCCCCTTGCTTTTTTGGTGATTTTTTAAAAGGGATTACTCTTTCTTCCCCCTGTAATGCACTTACTAGAATGTGTGTGTCTGAACTGCAGAAATATCTTGCTTACCAACACTTTTTAATTTCTCTTCCAGAAGTTTCAATGTTTGTTGAATTGATGCTCCATCTGCTGGTGCTACATCCACACACAACATTCCTAGTAAACCATCCAATTGCTGAGACAACTAAAATGTAAGAACATAAATGCTGATATTTAAAAAGAAGTTTGAGCTTCAGATGGTTGGTTCTAAAATATTCTAAATGTTTGGAAATTTGTCATTTTCAAATTTCTCTTTGCAGCTAGAGGAAATGAAAATCAAGATTGCAGTTCAATTAATGCATATGCCCCTAAATTAAAAAGAGGGGCAAAAAAGTAACTTTTCAACTAGTAACCCTTTTATTTCAAACTCTACTGAAATGTAAGACATATTACAAAGTACTTCCCTCCTAAAACAAGGGGGAGCCAGTTTTCTCAGCATCTCAATTACAGTAAATGATGACTTACAGAATTTTCCAAGTGACATGATATTTCCCCTCATCTCCCTGAGCATTTTTCCAATGTAGTCAACATTTACAATACCAATGCACTAATTTATTGACAGTGCCTTAAAGAAAATTAAAAAGAAACACTTACATCCTGGGCAACACTGTGGAATTCAAGTGCTGCTTGTAATAGGTTCTGCCTGAATTCCAGCTGACTGGCCTGCCTGTAACACACATCACTCAGCTGTTGCTGCAATGCTTTCAATTCCACAAGGTCCTCCTCATCCCCTGCATTTAGAAGAGCTGCTATCTGCTGATTAAGCTCAACATAAACAGCAAACCACTCCTAGAAACACAAGAAGATAAAGAATTAAAAATGCCAAATATAATTTTATTGCCCTTAAATGGTATACACACCCAACTGAAGGTTAATAAATAATCAGATTGAAAGAGGAGGTTATTAAAGATTGCACTATCTCACAGAGAAGAAAAAAATATTCCTGATTTCAAAGCAACTCTCAATAGAGTGCTTAGTAGATGTTAATACACACATTGTAGCATAAAAAACTTAGTGCAGAAAGATGGGAAGAGTTCAATGTGTGGCTCTGAGTTCCAGCACAAACTTCCACCAAAAGTGGAATTTCACTATTTTAAAACAAATTTCTAGTGCTTAAATGTCTGTACTGGTTTACTGAAACAAAAGATCATTTTTTGCCAAGTGACCAGCTATTATAAAAAGCTGTTCACAGGACCATCCACGTGTTACTTTCAGTGACATGACTGAAACTAGCAATAATTTCCTTACAAATTTTGGAAAAATGCTGCTGTTGACAGCAGTATTCTCTATCTGAGAGTACTATCTACTGACAGCAGTAATCTCTGTCTTCTGAACAAAAGAGAATCCTGGCACAGAAACTTCAAAATGATCCTTATTTAAGGAAAGCTTTATACTACTTAACTCAAATTCGTAGATTTGTTTTTCACATGGCTTGATCACTGAATACATACATAAGATTTAGTTATGTTGTCCTGTTGGTGTATTTGCAGAGAAAAATAGTTCAAATATTTAACAATTTGGTGAGATTTAAAAACAACTTGATACATCCAGATCACATTCACATCTTCCATGACTGAGATGCCTGTAAACCAAAATGTGTTTGCTCAACAGCTCTAATTTTGACCTTGAAGTGTCCTATGCATTTCTATGGAACAGCACCATCTATTGGCCTACAATATTTGATTTAATTTGTATTCTTGTCTCGCTCCTATTGGGATGTTTAGAATTTTGTAAATTATGTCTTCAGCTTTTGCATCATTTATTTCCAAATCATGTAAAATGGAGTATAAATATCCATTTTCTGAACTTTTTTTTCTTTTCTCCCAGAGCTGCCTCTACCATCTGCTCACAGAAAAAAAAGAGTATGAAAAGAGCAAGGAGGAGAACAAAGAGAAAGCAATGAGAAAGTTAAATTAGCAATCAGTCAAAAATTTAAGAGCAGAATAAATTTCTCATCAGTCCCAAAAGGGGCAACTATGATGACATAATGTGAAAACATCTTCCATTGCGACGTGTACTGTAGATACACAGATTCAGCACAATCAGTTCACAAAATCAGCTCTTTAACATTGAACATACAAGTCCAGCTAAATGTGACATAAAAACTATAATATGAGGAGTAAAAAAATAGATTAATATGGTTAGGGATTTTGGGTTTTGTTTCTTCTTTTTTTCAGTTTTTATTTTTAGCATTAGAGTTGCAGTAGTTTATTTTGATCAAGCTATCAGTAAAATTAAGATACCAGCAAACCAGGTATAAAAAGTGTGTTTCTCATCTTTTTCATGGGAGAACTTAGGCACAGTTGTATGTGACAGCTCAAACCCATGGAGCACAGACCTGCTCAAAAACCATAGTTCCAGTGTATTGCTCATGAATAAAACTAGCAGAAAATTAAAACCGCCCCAAAATCCAACCACCCTCTTCCCACAAAAAAACCAAACAAAAACGCACCCTGTAGAAATTATTTTTGTCACTTCAGAGTAAATTGAAGTAAAAAAGTATCTTCAAAACAAATCAAACATTTTTGCAAGTCTCTTCAAAATACTATAATCAACATTAAACAGAAGGTGATGAAAGAAAGCAAGCATACAAACTGTCAATTAAATTATTAGGAGAGAAAAGCCAGGAAAACAATGAAAGAGGAAGCATACACTAAAAATCAAAAGAAAAGGCAAAGCGCATATTTCTAGCACTGTTGACAAAAAATAGTCTTAATCTCTGAACAGGCATCTAAATGTAAGGTAGGACAGTGGTCTGCCAATTACTCCTTTTGATGTAAAAGAAAATATTTTTTCTGACTGTTATTTCTGCAAACTCCTGCCAGCACCTGCGAACCAAGCTGTGTTCCATGCTGCCAGTGCTTCAGCTCACTGTAGGGCAGCCTGCAAACTTCAGTGGGATTTCAATGATTTCAAGGACTGCATTTAGCCCCAGCTAAATCACAGCTCTCTATTACAGATATCCAAATGAAAACAAAGTTCATTCAGTCTTGTTTTCTCTTTCCAGTCTGAAATACCAATATAACTAAAAGACACTACAATTTATTTTTGTCAACAAAGTAGGTAGTCTAGGGTGTTTGTGGGGTTTTTTTCCCCTTTCCAATTAGGTTTTCAACTCCCTGATGTTTTACCCTTCAGAAGGTACTGATTTCCACAATCCCTGAAGAGCCTGAAGCAATGACAAGAGAGAGGAGATGGGATTTACTTAACAGACACCTACACTGCTGCATCCAGCAAGGAAACCATCCTCACCGAAGGTGCAGTCAGTACAACTAGAGTTGTCTAGGGTGCTGTGCTTCTCAGACTAAAGGTTTGGGGGGGTTTTTTTCCCCTTAAATTACATCCAAAAAATGATAACCCAGTGACTATTTTCATTGCCATTACTGCAAACAGAACTTGGGAAAAGTGGACAGAATTGCCAGTGTCTACATCAAGGAAAGTCAGAAGAGGTGAACAGCACTGTGAGCAAAACTCCCTTTGGGAGCACTGAATATTCATAACCTAATTATAGATAATCATCTGATGGAAAGACAAAATTCTATTGAAGCTTGGGAAGTATTCAAAATTAGAAGCACAGGCATCAAGTTAGTGTAGTTACAAAATAGCATCTCCATGATTTCATTATGAACATAAAGTATATCTAAAATCTTGATCAATGAAAGTCTTAAGTCAGTTTCAGCTACTGCTAAGTGTAGTCTAATAGAGACAAAAACATGAAGTTAGTCACCTGAGAAGTGCAGGACTTGTCAGACATTTTGGCAGAGAGGAAAATGTAAACTTATCCTTTCTACTCTACATGAAAATTTAAGAACTGCTGTAACACACTAAAGCCAAGAAAAATCACAGATCTGCATTTTTCTACAATGGGAAAAAAATGCAAATAGATATAATATGACCATATTAGTTCTATAACTGCTTGGATAATTTCCTCTGTAACTCAGAACATCATGCACTGTGCAAAATTCCTAGATATTCATAACCAAAATACATTGCTCATAACTACATGTATTTAGAACTATTTTGATACTTGAAAAGGGTATGGGAAATCTCACACTGTGCTGACTCTCAATCTCTTCATGCTTCTGTTGCAAAGCTTGTGAAGCTCTAATGGAATCTCCTATTCCCCACTGGGTTCTTAGCTGTTCTGATCCAGGTCCTTCAAGCCAATTGACAACCTGTCAGAAAGACAAAGATGATAAAAACAAAGTAGCAAATGAATTACACAAAGACTGGTATAAGCAGAATTTTGTAACACAACCAGAAATTTTAAAAAACATGTTTATGACAAAACATCTTTTTAGCGCTGTAAAAATCTTGTTGGTGAATCCATTCACATTCTTCAAATTCTTAAGTAGAAACTACTTTTCATTAACCTTAGCATGTCAGCTTCATGAAAACAGGTGGCAGCTATGACAAGATTTCTCAAATAGACAATTGTCATTTCATATCTCTTGTCAATAAAAGAGCTCAAAACACAATGCTAATGGATGTCTTGTGCTCAAACCAGAAATTTTTTTTATCAAAGTGATTACAATGTACAGCTGTATTCAGCTTCACACCTGAGAGGTTTCTCCTTTTTTTGCTGAATAAACTAACATTCAAGTAGAGGATACATACTTATTTTAAAATTAAACTTACACACCAACTTGCTCTACTCAAATAACAGAAACCTGTTACTGAGTTTTTGTAGCCACATCTCATGGAATTTGTCTTTGCAGGGTCACAACTTTGGACTACAGTATTGGATTTCTTTTATTATTATTTTGAAACTATTTTTTCATGTAAATATTAAAGCAAATATCAAAGCAAAGCAGAATGTCTCAAATTTTGCTTTCTTTACACAAATCTGAATTATCAGATGATATCTATGGAAAAATTCCCTGATAAATTTTTAAATATCTGGAACACAGACATTGATGCAATGAAACCAAGTGCAGAAGTCACTTAGTACTGGAGTCCTGAAGTAGGGAAATGCAGGAATACCTCTAGATTCTGAACCTTAATAAAAAGGCATAGGAAGCCAGCTTCCCGTCTTTAATGTTAGTTTTGTTTAAACATCAATCACAAAACAGCTTCACACAGATTTTCAGGAAACATAACACAATACACAATGTAACCCCACAACCACGAAGACAAATGAAACAGGGACTAATTGGACCATTTTCCTAGTGCTGCTAGACTGCCCTGCAACAGCAATCAAGAACAATCATCATTACAGAAGGCTCCTCAATTCACTCCATCTCTGAGTCATTACGTATCTGCCTTCCCACTGCCCTTTTTTGCCCCATGCCAAAGCACTGTTTCAGAGCATATATTCATTGCTCCAAAAGCGTTCTCAGTCTTCCCTGCTTCCATCATTTCTAGGACAAATTAGGACTCTACAGATGCAGGTTCTTTCTGTTTAAAGAGAAACTTCCTGTTGTGCTCAGCACCTCTGCACAGCTGTTATGGGTTAAATATGGAACTGACCTAGAAGTGAAGGGACCCAGATGTCCCCCTCTGAGATCACAGTGGCCTGGAAAACTTCCACACGGAAATGACAGTTCTCATGGAAATCTGAAACAGTGGACAAGGCCACTGCTTAGCAGTTGCCCTATCTGGCCAAGACCAGATCCCCATTGCAAGTTTCCAGCAACTACTGCATCGACTCTGCAAATGCTTAGGCCAGCACATGGCTGCTCTTGTGACAGATGCCTAAACTGAGGAGGGAAGAATTACTAGGGGACATGCAGAAAAATGTGATGTAATTTTCATAAAATAAACTTTAAAATCATTAATGACAAGACTACTGCAAGAGGTCACAGTTATTTTTGTGAATCAAGATTAGAAACCGTAATTAACACCTCTGCCTAAGGAGGGACAAAGCCAGAGTTTATCCTAGCCTACAGAGTTACAATAATAAGCAGCATTTAGAAAAACTGCTTATTACAAGACATCTGACAATCACTGCACCCTTTACATTACAAAATTAAAGACAAAAGAAAGGGAAACAAAACCTTGGAACAGAAGTAAAAGGGGTAATTCAAAAGAGAGGGTAGGATATTGAAGGCATAATGGAGAAAATTGGTTTTGAATTAAGAGGGCTTTGAGAGAGGAGTAAGAACTAAGCATGCCACAGTAAGGACAAGCTGCAAATAGTGAAACTGAAACAGGAACACAAAAGCAATCCAGGAGTGGATAGCAATATAAGATGGTATACAAATAATAAAATATGACTGTAGCTGTAAAGAAAGCTAGCAGAAGATTAAAACACGTACCAAAAAAACCCCAGCAACACCAGGGAAAAACACCCACTCCAATTAAAGTACTGCAAGTACTGTTATATGGCAACTTCTGTTTATTTTGTCAAAATAAATTCCATGGCACTTTGCCTCTATTGGCTTCCTTCTGTGCATCATTAGCTTCCTACTTTTAGCCTTTAACTCTTTCTATTAGCCTAATTTTTTGCTGCAAGCCCAAAATAAATGAAATAATTTCCCAGATTTAGTAAATTTTTCTCAAATATTTGTATGACATTTAGAAAGCTTTTAAACACACTTTAAAAAAAGCTGATTCATTTGGCAAAAGAGCAGAACACATTCTTCCTGTGTACTGAAACTCAGTTCACTTGCCAGGTAACATCTCTGTAGTGTACACACAGCAAACAAGTAACTATTCCTACTACAAATATTGCAAAATGAGGCTGAGTAATAGTAAACTATTCTACTTAAATGCATTAACAATGTCAGTTTGCCAAAGTACTATAAAAATCACATCTTATTCAACCACTAAAACTTAAACACAGGAAAGAAACTTCACCTGATTATATCCACAGCTGTGCTGATATGCTCTATATAGGATTATATTAATCTCTCATATATTTTTAATACTTCCAGCTCAATATATCAACAAATGACATCTGCTTTTTAGATTTTTTTACAGTAATCAAATTGCTATAGAAATTAAAATTATCTCCTCAGCAGATTTCTAATTTCAATGCTAGACATCACAAAATTGATTAGTTTTTATTTTTACCCATATCTACAATGCTGTAAAGTGCAAGTACTCGACATGCACTCCCCTTATGCATTAGAAATGCCAATGTTGAAAGGCTAAAAGCAATTATCTATTCAATTTTCTGCATATTCAAACTATATAGAATCTTAAAAATACACAAATCTAATTTCAAGTGATAAACACAAGATGAATAAATTAATTCCATTTCCTTGATTTTTTCTACTGAGACTCTGCTGTGAAAATGTTGGAAGTGCTAATTACATGGCTGTTTCCAAAGGACCAAGCCAGTTCATCATGACCTTTAACATGCAATTGATTAGGAAGTTGATATTCATTCTTGTCAGGGTGTTCCTGAAATGCAGACAGTTTAAGCACTTCAGCTTAGGTTAAACCACCAAGTATCAGACAAATAAAGGAATAAATAATGGCTTATCTTCAGTAACAGGAACTTTAAATGCTGTGGGCAGGGGAAGCAAAGCAGAGTTGATGTTCAGGCAAAGGTGTTCCTCTCTTTGCCAGCAGGGCAGGCATTTGCACCTCCAGCAATGCAGCCATGCACTGCCACAGTGCCCAGCAAAGGGACTGCCCCAAAGCACGAGAGCACATTTATAGCAACCTCCACGTATCAGAACAGCCTTTGGAATGTCACTGCGGCAGCCACAATGTAAAGCACTGTGTGAAACCAGCACACTGACATTTGTGAAGTGAGGGGAGGCATGAAGGTCTCCCCTCATTTTTGCAGAAATCACAGTCTGAGACTTGAGCTCAAAACCAGCTCACTGCACTCAAGCAGAGCTGCAAGCTTACCTGCATTACCTTCTGCTGGATCTCCTCCAGCTGTGTGCGCTTGCTGCGCTGCCTACAAACCTCCTGGTAGCGGGTGTACTGCTCCCTGAGGGAGTCCAGGAGCTTCATCACCTGGGGCTGGGCCAGCAGCTCATCGTCCATGGGAGACCAGGAGACCCCTCCGTCGGACCCGTTGAACCGACGCTGCTGCAGCTCCGACAGCAACTCGTGACCTTCAGGAATACACAGAATGTCCTGGTTAATCCAGATTCAAAGAAAAAACCCACAAAAATTAGTAGTAAGCCTGCCTGCTTTAAACCATCAGCAGTGCATTTTTGCAGCTAATGATCTTTCAAACATTGGGCACATTTAATGATATAATTTCATGCAGAGCTTTGGTCACAGTTTGTGGGACTGGATCAGTCACACAACAGAGAAAAAGAAATGTGGTATATTTCAGATATATAAAAAAGATATTGTGACTAACATTCAAATTGACAACAGCATTGATTAATGTAAGGAAAATTGAAAGCACAATCCTGATTTTGAAACTACTCTGAAGTATTCTGATTTACTTCAAAATGGTGAGTAGCATCCAAAGTATTTCTCTCAAACAATTCACGTTCTTATATTGAATGAATGCTCTGGAGGCACTAAAAATCTAACTATATAATTTCTCTGTTGTCTTTCAGAATTTTTACAGCAAGAACAACTCCTTTATAGAGTGTGAAGCTGAATAATAACTAATTTTTCAGTATTCTGTTCTCACCTGTCTTGCCCTTTTCTTTGTGCTCTTAAGCATCATATCAGGGTACAGATTCTCTAGAATGCAGTGACTCTCATATACACAAAAAAAGTGTATTTGGACTATTTAATCTTTTGCCTAAACTGTTTGAAGAATCTTATTGTTGTGTTGAAATTCTCAGTATGTAAACACAACACTACAAGTAAACCCAGACCATCGATTTGCTCCTCAAAAGCTCAGAGAACCAGTTAAAATAAAACAGTGTTTGGTCACTGAAGACATGTTAGTGTGAAAGTGAAAACGTGCCAGTTGGAGATCATTAGTTCTGCAGGTCTCAATATGGTAACACCACAGTTCACTAAAAGAAAAAACCTACTACTTGAGTAATAGTAATTCCTCAAGGAAAATACAGAAGCAAAAGTCTAAGTTCAACTGCTATTATTGAGACATTCAAAATGCCAAGGGCTTTGAAGATTGCAGCAAACAACTTTAAATTACTCAGCATATATTACTATGAAATGAAAATGTCTTAAGAATTCAAATACATTTTGCTGTACTATAGCACAAACATCTTGGATTTCATCTTTGTAACACTCCACAGATAGGCACAGATAGCTGCAGAGCAAACAGACTTTGGCTTTTACAAGTTTGTTCTACTGAGGTAATTTTGAAATTTTATTGTATTGTTTCAGCAGCAAATGATCACCATTTTCCCAGGCAAAACCATCTTTTCAAACTAAGTTCTTATCAAATTCTATGAACCATAGATCCATATATATGGATTTGGAGCTTGTGAAAAGAACAGTACCTGTGGTTATGGAAGACAGCAGCCTTTTATCTAAACCCTCTGTTCACAACTGTCCTTAGGAGATAAGAATTTAATTGGGGAGAGTTTAATCTCTCTTTTTCTCAGCCTTTCAGTACAGCGACTCTAACAGAGAAAGGGTGCCTCAAAACTCCCGTGATTTAGCCACAGAATATGCTGAGCTGGAAAGGAGCCATAAGGATCATCCAGTCCCATGGAAGTTATGAAACATCTTACTACCAAAAAACATTCATTACCAGAATTAAGAAATCACAGAATGCATATAGACTAATGGGCTAAGGAGCCATCTGCTTACACAAAATTGAAGTGGTGTTTTGTACAAAGATCTTTATTAGACACGGATACACAATTAGGCTGAAATCTAGCGACACTGCCTACAGACACTTCATGTTTCAAAACTTCAAAGACTAGAGTAAGACATTTTTGTTCCACATTTTAACTCAAACCAGTATTATCACACATCTAGATGAGCTGAATTTTTACACAGAGGGCACATAAAGCCACTATGATAAAAATTTCATGTGATCCACACATTACCTTTAGGAGGCTATAAGGTAAAAATTCTAAGCACTCAGACTCTGATCACCACCTAACACTATGCATTACTTATTCCACAAAAACACAAATTAAAAAACAAAAATCCAGTCCAAATCAATAGACTATTGTACTTTATTGCAAATAGGAAATTCACCCTAAACCCAACCTGTTAAAGCATCCCAACTCATTCAATGCTGAATGGAGAGTCCAAGAAGCCACGTATGCTCCACTTTTCTGATAGATGATCAGACCAGAATTAGATTGATGTAAATTGTCAGAATTGTGCAGGAAAATGTTTTCTGTATTGTAACCATTTGGTGGCTACTGAGATTAATCTATTCTATAAGGCAAATATATTGACATCAGCTAGAAACAAAGCATTCCAAAAATTAAAATGGTAATATTGTAAAGATGTTAGTGAGATTATAAAAAAAGTACTTAAAAAGACATGTTTGGAGTTCTTCTATTTCTTAGCATCACTTTTTTTAACCCAAAGATTAAATTAGCCAATAAGCTCCTTACATTGTGAAGAGAGCTAAGATAACAACTGTGCCCTCTATGCTTCCACTTGGGGCCTAAAATGAATTATGCACTTTACTGACCAACATTCTAATTTTCTGACTTACTGTACCTGTCTGCAATACCGTCTCAGGATCAACTGATGGAAGGAAGTTCAAATCTATTGATCTTTGGAAAAAAAACAAAAAAACCCACATTATTAAAATTTGTATTACAATAGCACTAAAAACTTCAGGTAAGGCTGGAACTGGGTCTTAAAAGACTAGGGCTTTTTCCCAGTTAGTGAAGTCCTCACTTTTTTAACTCATTAAATCAAAGCACAAGAGGAGGTGCATGTAATCAGTTGAATGAGCATCCATCTACATACACCCTCACGTACTTTGTAAGTCTACATTATATAGGTTTAGAATTTCTTTACACATTTCAAGGTATTTAAGGAATATAATTTTTTCAGTATTTTTCTGGAGTTCAAATGAAATTTTATAATCCAAAAGCTTTGATTTCAAAAAGTGAATCACATACCTCTCTCTCTCTTGTTGATTTCCTTTATCACTTCCATTGTTAATTAAAGCAAGCTCATCCAGTAAAGACGTTGATTCTTTAGTGAACTTTTCAAATACCTAAATAAGAGGAATTTAAGAAATTAATAAATTTTAATTTAAGAAATAATTTTAGGCAGGTGTACTGAAGGCATCGGTGCAAGTTTATTCAGCAGTTCCATTAGTATACTTCAGTCTCTATACAGTGTAATTATTTCCCAGCATTCAGATGGTAGGGAGGAAACAACAGAAAAAGTTTTGCTCACAGAACACGTAAGAGCACTATGACTCCTTAGGGAAATAGTAAATATTACACTGAATATAAGGAATACTGAAAAAAATTGAGATATCTGCAAAACCTGTAAAATCTTAGGGACATTTACTCTTCATTTAAGCCTTTAATAATATAACAGAATCAAGGCATGTTACACAACTACTGGCCAGCTTACTTGGAAGGATTAAAATAATTCTGTAAAGATTCCAGCTTCTACTCACTATTAAAATGGACCATATTGTAATGAATAACTAAAATAAAAGAAAAATGTGTTATATTATTTAGAAAGATTATATAGAGTAAAATACCCTCTTCAGTTTCATTGAACTCAGGGGTTTCTGATCTCAGACAACACCTGTACGTGAAGACACTGTGCAGTGTTCAGACAATTCCTCTGTACCTGATTTCTGAGGGCTGGTTTTGCTTTTTAACAGAACTGAGCATGGCTGGGTGTCTTACATGACATGCACAGTTAATTCCAGGTATTTTTGTTGTTATTAAATTATTAATCAATAGCTTGCAAATGAACTTTCCTTATGTAGGACTACTTCAAATTTCAGAGGAAAGCAGGTGCAGTTGCAACACACCTGGAGATCCTAGATGGAGACACACATTCTAAGAACAGATTATACAGGAAGGGAACACGCTGTGTCAATGAAGATTGATTTGAAAATTCAATTTAAATAATTGAAAAGCAAGTATCAATGAAGAAAAGATTAGGAACATTCTGGGGAGCTATGCACACCAACAGTTGCTTAAAAAATTTGTGCTGATTAAATTTATGTTGATTAATGATTAAAAGGTGTAGCTGCTCCTGGACATTTACTGCTTCATGGTCTGCTGGGGAAACCGCAATGACAGAGGTTTTGGTTTAGGACAGCTTAAAACCACAGGAACCAAGACCTAAGAGAAAACCAGGAGCATCTGCAAGAGTCCAGGTATCTTCTCCCACAGCAGCCAATTTCCCTTTATAGCAACTATACCATAGACTCAGGCTCTTCTAGAGTTAGTGTTACTAAAACAGCTTTGTTAAGGAACAAGTAGTTCAACAAATTGATGACATTAGCTTTATCATCCCCTGAGTAAAGGCAGTGTTATTTACCACAAGACTATTCATGTAAGTGAACTGCACAACTACACATGTGACCATTTCCTACACGCTTTGCAGTTCCTACACAAACAAAAATTTCAGGGTTCAAGAAGGAGACATTAAAAAACCCCTGAACCCCAAAATACAGATAACTAACCAGCCTCTTATTCAGCCAATCCATGTGATCATAGGTGAGAGTTCCTCCAAAATCTTCTGTTAGTTGGCATGGTTCTATATATCGTGTCAGCTTGTTAGCAGATACTAAAATAACCTGCAACAATAAAAGAGGTCACTTGTAGGTAATGCTCATACTTTCCTTAAGTATCTGAGAAGTGTGCCCAGAGATACTGAGCAGATCATTCTGTGATTCAGACTTTACTGCTGAATGTTTAAATGAAATATGGCTGTTTACAATTTACGTGGGCCTCAACCAGACAGGTAATTCTGACATGCAGTGTATGCCTCATGCATAATCCTGTAAGTGCATCATCTCTACCACCTTATCTGTTTATAGTGGGAAAAAGCAATGTGTTCCCTGGATATCTGTTATCCTGCTGGAAGCTGATCCTTTGATTAAGTCATATACCACACCATCTATTTCAAGTGACTATAGTAGCAGGCTATCATACTGCAAAGCACTCAGTATTTTCACCCCTCTCTGGCAATACTTTCAGTCCCAGAGGTGAGTTTGTGCCATAAAAGTTAAGTGCCTGCATTTACTGTGCAAATACGTTCAGCAAAAGTTGGATCAATCATACTCTTTCTATGAGTAGTCAAAAATTCAAATTTAATATGCTTAAAAGTCTGAGTCGTTCACCCAGGAGACAAATCTAGTTCATCAGCTACATCAGGGCATACAGGAAAACACAGGTCCACTGCTAGGTGGAAAACTAAATTCTGGCCTTCATTTCTGCATTCTAGAGGCTCCTGAATGAGCCTTATTCATATAAGCCTAAACCCGAAGTTGGCAGCACAGCTTGCTTTGATGAATGACATGCTATGCCTGGAATAACTCTTGTGGAAAAAAAACCAAAAACAATCTCTCTATTGAAGCAGGCAGATTGGCAATATATAACCAGAAACAAAAGAAAAAAAGAAAAGAAAATTTCTATAACCCATCAAACCATCCACATACTCTTGCAGGGCACAAGAATATGTGGAAAGAACTAACTAGAGACTTCTATTCCAGCTCCATTTCCCTGCAGATACTGAAACTACAGAATTCAGAGTAGCTCCAAACAAATGGTCTATTATTGCAGAGGAAAACCTTTCAGCAACATCCAAATACACACTATTGTCCTGTACTCTTAATGGTACATGGGTGCTGTAAATGGAATTGGCTAGTAGTTTCTCTAGGTAATGCCAGTAACCAGCCCAAACCCCAGAGGATTCTACATCCAGGAAAGAAGGAGAAAAAAAAAACAAACCTTTGTTCTTCCTTCTTTTGGCACACTAAATAGTTTAGGTAATTTTTAACATTCATCTCTATGAGTTCATTAAAATGAAAACCAATTTGGTATGGACATTCTGGTATGGGAACTAAAGCAAACAGGGCAGCTGGTTCTCATAACTGAAATACAAGTTCTGAAAAGACCCAAGTAGCCAGACAAAATAGATGGACTGCATTGAGACCACTTATTTCAGATTTTTTTAAACTGAGATCTTTCAGGAAGGGGAGTGGGCAAGGGATAGCCCTCAAACTTCCACTAGGGAGATGTTTTTTAAAATAAAAAAATTCTGAAAGAGCAAAGCCTGCACAAAAAATATTTTAACCATATTAAAAAAAAAATCTTCTGACAATAAACACCCAGAAAAGAGATTTGGTCAAAACCCAAATTTTCTAGATCTTATTAGAAAAACTCTGAAAAATAAAACTTCCACCTCATTAATAAACCTTGTTGTTACTTAAAGCATTATTTCCAAACCCATTCATTCTCTCTGGGTTCCTCATATAAAAACCACTTCTTAAACTGTTTATTGACTGTTCACTGGGCTAGCTGCTAAAATCCTCTGTATACTTTTCACAATATAAGAAAACATTTGAATTTTTTACTAGGTTGTGGCAGAAATGAAGGCTCCTAAACAGAATTTAGCTCTTGCTCTAAACCTGAACTAGTGGCAGTGCTAACCTAACATCCTCTACATGCTTTAAATTAGTAAATCAGCTACTATAGATTAATAGCCAATAAGTACACAGACCAAAAGCCAAAGAAGAAAAAAATGTTGAAAATGCAATGTGGAGAGTGAGAAGACACTTCACTTTTACAGATCTGAATTCTACTTTAAGCTCAGCAAACTTCTGCTGTCAGGTTTCCAAAATGTTTCAAAATCCGAACAGAGTAATTATAATTGACTTTTTGTGAAAATAGACATCAAAATACCACATCCAAGAAAAAGTTGTCCCTTATGAATTAGTGTTTCATTCTTGCTTTTGAATTTCACCCTTCAACATATTACCACAGGTAAAGATAAGCTAATTTACAGCTGTAAAAACAGAAATAACCCTGTTTGCTTGCAATTGAAATGATTTTTTGTTTTCTTTTTTTTTCCAAGTCAAACTATGCTGATTCCAGTAAAAGGGGGAAAAATGCAGCTTTCATAATCCAAAGTAAAAGCCTTTGGACAGCAGATTATAGCTGGATATTAAAATGAAGAGCTTAAATTTCCCAAGGGAGAAACAAGTAGATCCGGACAGATGGTAAAACAGGGAAAAAAAAAGTATAAATTGTTGAATCCTTTAATCTTTGCTTCCCTTCCCACTTGATCCACCCACTTGTGACAACAGGGACAGCTAATAAGCTCACAGGGGCAGCAGGTTTCAAACGTGTCCTGCTTGCTACTGACCAGTCATGGAATCACCATCTGCACTCAGCTCTTTCTGAAACCTGGAGCAGTGGTAGCACCTCTCATCCTTGCTCTACTCTAGTCAGCAAATTTGCTCTGTACAGTACTGGCCTGCTAAATCCTTGTGAAAGCCTTTAAAGGAATAACTCAGAACAGTGCTTTGGGAATGGTAGAAGTGCTGTATTTTTTAATAAAATCAAAACAACCTTTGTAAAAGCCGTCAAGCAAAAGAAGAATAACAAAGCTAAAAACATGGACTGCAAAGTCTTGTGCCTTAAGTGCAAAATTCTATTTCTCAGCAGTGAAAATACATGTTTTTGACTCATGCAACATGTATCTTTTGTAATAAAAATGCTTTAAATACAGTTTGCAGTAAGCTGACCTCTCTATGTCATGTGCAGTTTTCTGTAATTTTCATTGATCATCTATAAGGAGATAGAGGCAGAAGTCAAGATGAGAGAAGAATTCTAGATATTCAAGAGGACATGTAAAAGTGTCCCCAAACTGTTAAATACATCCATCTGAACTTTCTCTCTTAAGGGAAGAAATGAAAAAGCTCTTTAATACAAATGTTACAGAGTCAAACCCAAGAGCTACTTAAGAACAGGAGGCTGTAAAATTTCAGTAACAAGGAGCTTTTTCCTGAAGTGTGCAATATCAGAGCAGCCACACTACTGAATCTGAAAAGGAGTAGTTACTTTCCAAAAGAGAACAATACACATGTCCCTTGAGAATATAAAATTTAAACAAGTGCAATCTAAATATGATCTTCATTGCCACAGAACTGTAAAGCAAAGACTAACTCTTCCTGAGGAGAATAATCCTATTTTTTGATGCCAAATACAATTTCAACCCATTTTTCAAAATACTATTTGATTAAACGCCGAGTAGCATAGGGTATTATTTGTGTAATATGGAACACTGATCTAAACAAAGATCATTTTATTTCACATTGCACCAAGAAACACTAGGTAAATATTTATCTAGCCAGTGCCATAGAAATCTGTCATACTAGAAACCCAAGAACAGTTGGCAGAACCTTGATAAACACAAGATGAACTCCACTCCCAGGAACTGCCTCCTTCACTTGTGGCTTTACCCACTCACTCACCTTACCCTGCAGTGCTCACAATAATTAGCACACTCATTCCTACATCCCAGAAAAGAGAAAGTAGGCAAACATTCTTGCACTTTTCAACACTCTTTCTTTGGACAGAATTCAGGATATGACATAAATGCAGGCTTACATGCCCCAGCTCCTCATAGACAATTCCCTAATTTGCCCAAGAACCCACTGCCTCCTGTCAGATCTCAGGATCTCAGTCCTGAGGTGCTGAGCCACCGAGACCACCCTTGGGGGGCCCGGGAGTCCTGGAATGTTGCCAGAAGTGTCTGGTGGCAGGACTTTGACCCTACACGGGAGACGACACCTTTATGAAGATAAGAGGACTTCACCGGGGTGAATGG